GCCTTAAACCCTACTCAGAAGTAAGACAAAGTCTGGGAAGCATCACCTCTTCCCATCCCACCCTTCTTAGGACTTTTTCCTCTTCTCTACTGCCAAATTCAACCCTAAAACTGCTTCTGAAACACTATATCTGAGCATCTTTTCCAGCGCTGAATTTTCCTCCTGCAAATCCCCTGTGCAGGGGAAGGGAATTTCTTTGCACTTTTTTTTTTTCCCCTGCTCTATTTACTGATGGCAAAAACCTGCCCTTGGCTTTAAAGATTATTCCCCAAAAGAAATGGCATTGCTGTCCCAAGCCCAAGTTGTCCAGCATGTTGTTGTCAGGCTTTTATTAGTTTGTTTTGTAATGCTAAAATGCACAAGACCTAGGGAGGGAAGAAAAGCTGTTGCAGCCCATTGGCTCAGCTAGAGAAGAACAAGCGGTGCTGGGTGCAAGGGTGGGTGCGGGAGGAGCTGAGATAAACAGTTTCTGGCGAGCAAAATGATTTTGCTGTGAGCAGCTGCGATGCCTGGAATAGTAACGATAACATCAGGGGGTTTTTTAACTTGTTTTTCTTCCCTTCTGTGGGTTCGTGGGGTGCGCGGCGGTGGTGTCAAACCACGAGCTCTGCCTCGACCCATCTGAGTTTGCTCTGTCCCTGCGCTGACCCCTTCACAGACTTGTGTCCCCTCGTAAGCCCTTCAACTCCCTTCAAACTGTGAAGAGTTGATAATGTATATTTTTCTCTTTAACTCCCTTTAAACTTACGGGTTTTCTCTTCCTTTTTTCTCTTTTTTATTTTTTTCTCTTATCTTTTTTCTCCTCTCTTTTCTCTCGCTTGCCTATATTTTCTTGTGCGCATTGTCTCTCTCTTTTTAATCCTTTTTCCTCTCTTTTTAGCTTTTTGTATCTTTCTCCCCTCTCTTTCTCTTTCTCTTTCTCTTTCTCTTTCTCTTTCTCTTTCTCTTTCTCTTTCTCTTTTCATCTTCTCTCACTTTTTCCTTCTTTCCGTCACTCTTCTTTCCATCAGTCTTTACACCCTCCCCGAAGTGTTTTTAGCATAGAACAAATGTGCTCCCCTGCCGTGGCTTCCCGTAGTCCGTGTTGCCTACAAGGTCTTGGGGTGTTGCAGAGGCAAAAAAACCCCCAACAATAAAATCCCAAAAGGCACCGTATGGCTTGATGGGATCTCGCAAACGCGGGAGGCATGGCTGGCTGTGGATTTTCTCAGCCTTTTCCTTGTTAACACGCAGCCTGAGCCGCAGTCCCCACAGACACCAGTGGATGTGAGCCCTTGGGTCAGGCGCTTCTCTGCCTGCGATGGGGAAAGAAACCCAAAAGCCAGATTCTTCCTACCGAGAGGAAGCGCTGAACAACTGCAACGATGCATGGAAAGAGTACAAATGGGGTAATGCTGGGGATAAAAAAAAACCAAAACAAAACAATGCTCTGGGTGAGGGCAGGCGTGAGAAGAGCATCTCGCTCTGGTGGAACACCAGTGGGATGGAGTTTTTGGGGGGGTGCAGATCAACCCAGGCACATCTACACTAAATTTCGTGATATGGCCACCTCTAAAGGCTGAAAAGCCCTAAATCCATCTCCAGATCCTCAAAGACGTGTTGGTGCCTTTGAAGGACACACATCTGTTCTCCTTGCCTTGCGGGCAGCCCCTTGAGCCTCTGCAAGCTCTCCCCACCTTCCCAACCCCCAAAAAGGTCCCTGTCCTGGCCAGGACTCAGGGTGGACTTGAGGATCCAGCAGAAAAAGGGCAAAGGGAGGGGAAAAGGACCCAGCCCACACCCTCCCCTGCACTTTCCTCCCCCAGGGTCCAACACCAAGAAGTCAAACTGGAAAAGATCTCACTCATCGCAGGTTTTCATCCCTGTGTGCGTGGTGCTGACACTCTCAAACATCATCCTGCTCGTGGCCTTGGCTGGTGAGTCCCATCCAGGCATCCCCCATGGGGAGGATCTGGGCCAGGCACCTCTGTTCTGGGAAGCAGAGGAATCCCAGCATCTTCCCAGCATCTTCCCAGCACCAAGGGATGCTCCCCAAGCAGAGCACCAAGCCTGCTTTGGGGAGGGACCTCCTTTTTTCCCTAAATCGTGGTCCAGGGATCCCAGCTCCTCACTCGATCACACCATTCCCTTTTCCAAGAGCACCATCCCCAATTTCCCCCCTGCAGCTTCTAGGGAAAAAAAAATTTCCATTTTCCTGCTTTTTAGGGCTGCCCATGTGTCTCACTCAACTTTCTCTTTTTCAGTTGTCTGTTTGGGATTCCATTTGCCTCGCCCAAATTTCTCCCATGTGTGCCCAGACACCTGGCTTGGTTTCCAAGGGAAATGCTATTATTTTTCTAAGAATGAGAGCAGTTGGACCACCGGTCAGGAAAGGTGCGAGGCCATGGGAGCTTCACTGGCCATCATAAGCACCATGGATGAACTGGTGAGAACTGTGCTTGAGCCTCTACACTAGCACCAGGGTGGGAAACATGAAAAACAAAACAAAACAAACAAAAAAAGAGACATACACACACAAAAGACCAAAAAACAAAGACCAAAAACCTACTTGGCCCCAAATTGCACACAAGGCTGTAGCCAGGAGCAGATACCTTGGGTAAAACACCATCTCTGGGTGGGGTGATGGACACAGGTGGAAAAGAGGAGGTGAGGAAGATGAGACTAGCTAAAACATGGTGTTTCTTTGCTTTAAAGATCTTCGTTAAACACTACAGAGGCAAAGCTAACAATTGGATTGGGCTGCGAAAGGAGGATGACAGCTGGTGGTGGATCAATGGCACGGCCTTCAACAACTGGTTGGTTCTTCTGTCCGTGTTGGGTGCTTGGGGTTGGCAACTGGTGCAGGTTTGCCCTTTGGTGTGGGTGGAAATGACCTCGGAGGGATGTTGCGTTGCTTCTCCCCACCTTGGATGGGATTTCTTAGAGGGGCTGGGATGACCCAGCCTGGGACGGGGACCTTCTCCTGCCACCATGTCCAAGCAGCTCCAGGCTTTTGGGAGGTTTGGGAGGGACCAAGGATGCTGCACATCAATCCCCTATTAGACACCCTCAGCCGAACGCCACCCCTTCTCTCCTAGAGAGGAAATGCCAGCTTTTGTTAATTTTTGGGGGCATAGCTTTTTTCTTTTCCTCCTTTTCTCACTCTCCTGAGTGTGTCGGCATTGCAGGTTTGAGGTACGGGGTGGTGGGCCCTGTGCGTACCTGAACGAGGAGAGGATCAGCTCATCCCTGTGCCACAACAGGAAGAACTGGCTTTGCAGCAGACGTCCTCTGGAAGCCAAAAGCATATCCATAATAAAAGACCATGTAAACAGTGACTTCATCCCAGTTCTCCAACAAGCAAATGAGGAACTGAGCACAGTTTTGTTGTCCCAAAATGTGGGATCTTCACCCGCTATGCAAACCAATTCACACAGGGTCGAGGTATTCCTTTTAATACTGTTTTGGCTAAAACAGGACTATTTCTCATTTCAGGAGTTTTTCTTTCAGTTAAGTCCCTTCTAAGTAACTGCACTTTCTGAAAGTACAGCTACATGTTTTTCAGACACTGTCTGCGTTTCAGACCTGATAACGCTCAATGTTTATAGTTGCTACCGAAGTATCAGTAGGATTGGTATGCAGAATGGCCCATGTTTATACGTATCCCCATGAGAACCAAGGCCACTGCTGGCCCCCCTTTGCTAAGCGAGTAAAAAGTCGTAAAAAGGTCGCACCTGCGGAAGAGTGCAGTCGGGACAGGTGACCAAAAACTGACCAACGAGGTATTCCATCCCATCCATGTCATCCTCAGGATAAAGCTAAGGGATTGTGGGGGTCTTGCTCTCTTCTTTGATGGCTGGCATCCCTGTGGGACCCTGCTCACTCTCCTGCCTCCACTCCATGCATTCCTGAATCCGGTTCCTGTCAGCTGCGGAGCCCGGTCCGTGTCGGCTGCGGTGTCTGGTCTAGGATGTCTGGGTGCCCGCCCTGCTGCGACAGTGGCGTGAGCCACCATGGCCTGCGATTGCCTGACCGTCATCAGGAAACTCAGTATCGGTTTTGTATATTTTTTCTCATATTTCCATTATTGGTAGTATTAGTAGTAATACATTAGACTATTTTTCCATTATTATTGTGTTATTCCGGTAGTTTTAATTTCCAGCCTGTAAGTGTCTCTCTGCCCCGCAGAGAGAGAGGGGTTAACAGAGAATATCTTCTGCTCATTTTAAGAGGTGGCCCAGCCTTAAACAGTAACAGGAGGGTAAGTCTTTTTGGTCTTGAATTGAGTCGGTGGTCACAATCTCCCCCTGTCGCCTTTCCCTTTCCTCCAGTTACTGCTGATTTCTGCTGACTTTACACTTCATGTGGCAACTTTCCAGCCTAATGATGTTCTGGGGTAGGATGTTCCTCTTCATCAGTCTTCAGCTGCACTTCAAGGACCTTGGTATTTAGCAAATGTGCAGATTTAGGAGCTCATACAGGAGTACTAGTGAGAGTCTCACTTTTGGTTTATCAGTTCCCCCCCTCATTGCATTCTGTGTTCCTTAGGTCAAGCTGCTCTTTTTGTCTGAGAAATCAGTTTCTGAAAGTGAACTTTGCAATATTTGCAGTATATTTTTGTACCTTTATTCATAAGCCTGTGTTATTTCAACAAATTGAAGTAAACCATTTTTATAGCCTTTTATTGATATCGTAGCTCTATCAACACAGTGCCTGAGGCACAGACATTTCTGGTTTCTCAGCCCACGGAATCATCTGTGTCCCCCCAAAATTGTCTTGACCCACGTGGGAGATGCATTTGCAAACCCTGAAATCCCTTGCAGAGCCGCAACGATGAAGACAGAGCTGACTTCACCCCAAATATTGGAAGCAAGCGTTTCGTAGGCTGGGCATTTCGGGATGGGCACATCTCAGACGGAGGCATCGCATTTCTCCCCGTCTCCTGTCCTTGGTGGGGAGAGCTGGAAAGGGTCTTTTTGGCAAACCCACTCATGTTCGCCGTCACAGATATTGACCTCCAACACCTCGTCTTTCAGTGTCCCACACCCTTTGGCCATTTCCTGCAGGGTGCCAAACCTGCAGAACACAAAATTTATTACCCAAGAGGAGCAAACTCTTCTGGCCTTGCAGAAGAGGGGAGGTAGAGGATTTCCCCTGCCCCTTTTCTGCACCGTTTCATCGTGCTACAAACAATTTCTTGCTGGCAACTGGCCTGGGTTTGAGTCCAGATTGCCGCGCTTGCAAGAAGATCGGCAAGGAGCATGCATGGACCATTGAAAGCCGTGTTGGTTGCATGGGTATGGTGGGAGTTCTTGGGTTACCGTGCCCCGTAAACCCAACTCTTGGTCTGCAAAGCTTTGACAGGAGGAACACGAGACCGTTGCATAAACTCATGGGTCTGGGTATGCACCAGGTCTGAAATGGAGCAAAGCTGTTTATTACGCCAACGGGTTGCGGATACACTCACATTTTGGTGTTGAAGGATGTGTTGTCCACCCAGCTCCACTTCTTGTCAGATGATATTAGTCCAATCCACACCGGCTGTGTGCCTCTGCCTGTAATATTCTTGATGTACTCCTGGGAAATGAAGGTGATCGGTTGCTGGCAAAATCGCTCAGCAAAGAGTTTCATGGGGTGCAGAGCTATGTAGTAAATCTCTCGTTTCATCCCCAAATAGATGGGACACGGATGTCCCCTCTGCTTTGAATGCCGCCATGCACCATCTCTAAAGGCAGCTCTGGGATGGAAATAGCTTAAATTCAGAGCCTGAGACACCAATGTCTCCATCTGAGCTCCGCATCCTCCTCTTCCATGTCACAGATGGGTAAGGGAACACAGAAGGGCTTTAGGTTACAATTCAACTCCTTTTTCTTCCCGGTCACTTCTTAGGAGACACCAGAGTACGAGGTGGGTGAGAGCCACCGTTGCATCCCCAAACCCTCCTGCTGCCAGGCACTTTTTGCACCCCTGCGCACCTTAAAAAAAAAAAAAAAAGACTTTCAGGTCCTTTTCAAGCCTTCTCGTCTGTATTTACCTTTTCTTTCTTCTCCCGGAACACTGCCAGCTGAGAGTCTTGATTTTCACAGCCTTTCTTGCCTTGAGACCAACTTCCCTTTTCATTGGAAAGCCGGTAGCATCTTTCCCCAAGGAGCTGCCAGTCCTGGGGACAGAGCGTGCAACCAGCAGAGGCTGAAGAGGAAAAAGAGCTGTGAGACAGCCCAAAGGATGCTCAAGATCTTCCCCAACCACCAGCTGAAAGGCACCAAGGGCTTCACCCTGGCTCTTTCCCCATCCTTGAGGTTTTTTTTCACACTGTTGGGGTTTTTCCTGCTCAGCCACCGGAGAGGAGGAGAAGGACTGTGGTTGGGTGACCACAAGGACCACCATTAATGGCTAGTTGACAGGGAGGAAGGGTGGTGAGGAACCTCCTCCCTAGGGTTGACCCTGCTCCTCCATGTATGCAGAGAGAAATACTTCCTTGCAACAGTCCTCTTTGCCAGATAACCCTTGGTTTGCCACCAACTCGCATCCCCAAGGGCATCCTGGCAATTGAAGGGGAGAGGAAGCCCCATCAAAGGTCCCACCTGAGCATCTCCCAGCAGAACCAGGTGGGAAGAGGGATTACCTGCGGGGCTTTCCAGCCGGGATTTGCAGAAATACTGCATCAGGGATGAAATTGCACATTGTTCCGTGTTGTTCCTTTCCCGCATCTTGCCGCCTTGCTGGGAATCGCTTGTCGCTGCTGGCTGCAGAGCGCCCTGAAAAACTTGGAGAAATGACCTGGGGTGAGAAGCTGTGGCCGTTTGGGGGCAAAAAACCACAAAAAACAGGTAGGGTTGGGTTTGGTTTTGTGCAGTCCTCCTTTTTTCCCTCTGCGGTTGCACCCAGTTAATTAAGCCAGCCTGAAAAACACAGCTTGTGTCCTCCCCCCGTGTTTAAAAGCTATGGGGATAATCCAGGTTTATTTCAGCAAGGATTTATTCTTGGTGGGTGATGCATCTTGTTGCATCTCCATGGGGCAACCTCACCCCCTCCAAAGGCTGAAATTAAACCGGATTTCCCCTCCAAGCCTGCTTTCTGGGTTTTGAGATGTAGGTAAGAGCTGGTTACTCACCCTGCACGCTCAACACCACTACCAGCACCAGCAGGATGAGGTGCCCCAGCCCACTGACTTTGAGGAGGACCCCATGCCACCATGGGCACAAGGCAGGAGCTGAAAGAGGCCGCATTTAGTGAGAAAAAAAAAGAAGCACATTTTTTCACATGAAAACCTGGAGCGGGGGGGAAGCCCCTCTGTCAAGCCGGCGAGTTTGAGCAGAAGTTTACAGCTGTTTTGCTTCCTCCAAAAACCCCAAATCCCCTCCGATGAGATCTAGAGGTTGGATGCAGAAGTGAGGGCATCACCTAAGGGTGGGTTTTGAGGTGGTGGAGGGGCTGCAGGTAGCCTCAAGAGCAGCCCTGGGCACCCAATGATGGAGCTTAACAGATCTGAAACCTTCTGAAATTGGCTTAATTTGGAGCAGGCAAAACCCACTGGCGGTATTGCTGGGAGTTGGTGGGACATGGATGTCTCCAGATCTCATCTCTTCCAGGATCCCAGACGTAGTCTCAGCAGCTTTGCTTTCCATCAAGGTGGTGTTAGCTCACGTTGGGCTTCTTGGGACCCGTTTTTGCCACAAATTGAAGGGTTTCAGAGGCAAAACAGTTCAACTGCCAAATCTTTGTAAGCTTCCCTCTCCCCCATCCCTTCCTTGCCTTTTTTTCCCCCCTCCTCTCTGCAAGCCAGGACAATATTTAATCCATCCAATGTTCTTCAGGCATCTTGGAAACCTCAACACGGCGATGGAGAAGCAAGCAAACTCAAAAATCTTCGCAAAGCTTGAAATAAGCACTTTCCCCCCCCAAATTGCACTTACTGCGACACTTCTCGGCAGTAGAAAAACCATTCTCAGGATGCCTTACATCAGCGTAAACGATTTCCCCAGCCATGACCAGCTCAGAAGATTGCAACAGCGTCTCAAGAGTGAAACCGTTCTTGGGCAACCTGTCACCTTATGACCGACCCGCTTGAGCCTGCGTCCAGTCCCAGGAAACGACAACATCTAGGCCTTTTATCTTCTTTTTTTTAAAAAAACCCCACCCAAAACACAACAAAACAACAGATTTCTCCTACAGCCTTCCCTTGTAAATGAAGGTCGGTGAGGGGGTCGGTGTCCTCCAGGAGGAGGTCACGGATCTGGAGGCGCAGAAACACCGACTGGTTTAACGATTGTGCCGAGCAGCCAGGAAAACATGCAGAGATGAAAAAAAAAATATTAAAAAAGCGTCTTTAAATAAGATTTTTGAGGGTCAGGCTGAAGCATATCAGGGTCTAGATCAGTGTGGTCGGAGGCAGGTCATCAGGTGAGGCGGAGAGAGGCGATATTTGGTGTTTTTTCACCAGGATATCAGTTGCGAGCGACTTGAGATGGCTTTTTGGCTGTGCACGACTTCTTCTTCTGCTCCCGCTGCCTTTGACACCGTAGTTGGCCTCTGTTTTATCGCGTGGCAGGGAGAGCCGAAAATGGCCACGGAGAGTGGGGATTGCCCAGCTCTTGCGCTGGAAGAGGTGGGGAGTCTGGTTTTCCTACCTGTTTCCCACAGGCTGCTAATGAATTTTATTTTATTTTAATTTT